TAAATATAATACAATCATACTTTCTTGAATTTAAAGGTATAGCAATATATATAACTTAAAAAACATCGTCTCCTCTGCACAAGTTAGCTCCAAAATAGACGAAGTGGAATAACAAGCTCTCATCAAAACTTTTTACACAAAAACGCAAAGCTCAAATTTTATGTTATTATAGTTATATTTAACTGGGTGGAAAGTGTGAAAGTTGTAGAAAATTGTAGATAAATTGTATTCCTCTATAACGGGAGATGTTGACATATCAAGTAACTTTAGTGTTCCAGACGAACATGCATGAAAATAAAGATAAATTCTGTTATGAACAGTTTGTAGAAATTTTGTAGATAATTTGTAGAAATATTGAAATTCTGTATTTTCATATTAATTTTTCAAATGATATGTAGTTTTATTGTAGATTAAATGTATAAAACAAGCCATTGTGAGTCTTATTTGACTCATTCCTTACATTCAACATATTCTACAAATTCACGTCTCTTTAAATACAATACAACCATACTTTCTTGAATTTAAAGGTATAGCAATATATATAACTTAAAAAACATCTTCTCCTCTGCATAAGTTAGCTCCAAAACAGACGAAGCGGAATAACAAGCTCCCATCAAAACTTTTAACACAAAAACACAAAAGCTCAAAAATAAATAAACAACAGTGTACAATTTTTCTACAATTTATCTACAATTGCTACAATATAATGTATGTGATGTCTTCTTCTTCTTCTTCTTCGAGTTTCAATCTGAAATTCAGCCAAAACCAAGTCTAATCTTCACCAAAACCCCTCAAAATTGAGATATAAACTCCAAACCATATTCTCAATTATTTACAACAACACCCAATCCAAACAAACAATGATTTTTGAAAACCCAAATTTAAATTCAAAGCTTTTTAATGGCTATCAATGGTGGAATTGCTGCTCTCTTGTCTCTTTGAAGGTTTGTTCTTCTTTGTTGAGAAAATTTGAAGCTGAAGGTAACTGTGCGTATGAACTTTGAAGATTTGACTTCAATTTTGACTGGTTATAGAAGAAAAAGCTTGAATTTGGATGTAATGGAAGGGTGTTACATATGTTTCTCTGGTTTTAGAAGAGGGAATAATGAGTTTGAAATATGGGTGTGGGGAGATACGTGGGTGAGGGTGTGGGTTTGGGAGAGAGTAACGTGGGGGGGGAGATTTGGAGGAATATACGGTAGCGTTAATTAAGGAGTGATATACGGTACATTAATTGTATAATTAAACACATTATAGTATAGAATTGGTAATTAGGTATACTAAATGTAATTAAATCAAACCTTAAACATTAAGGGTAATATAGTTTCCTATATAGAATAGGAATGTAAAAATTCCTTAAGAATATCTTGTCGACCACTTGTAGGCTGTTGTTGACATACACAAAGCCCAGATGTACAAATAGGCCCAACTAAGCCCAAAAGATAGTATTTCAGCTTTGTACATTTCAGCTTTGTATTACTTAGTGAGATAGATAGCCTCATTTACATTTTGCTTTACATAGCCATTTTATGTAAGTATATATACGGTAGACTATTCTAGAAAGGACAAGTTTGGGATTTCTAATAAGACACCAGATATTTTCTTATCATCTTCTCTCTCTTGTTCTCTGAAGTTTTGGGCGTTTCCACCATGGAAATTCCCCTTTAGCTTCCGCAAATTCTTATGTTAACATGGTATCAGAGCGAGACACGAGTTCATGTACTCGATTGTTTTCATTCGCTCGTACTTGTACAGTTCAATCTTCACAATTCTAGGTTTTCTGAAACCCTAAGTTTGATTTGGGGTTTTTTTTCGATTGAGAAGAAATTCAACCTTAGCCATGGTTTTTCGAAGGTATAATGATGAATTGCTGGTGATCTTACTCTGATTTCAATCAGTGTTCCGTCTTCTGCTTCAGAATTCATTTGAAGACCTTGTTTTTTTCCGGGTAGTGAAAAAGGACAATATTTTCTTCTCTAATCTCAAATTGCATGCCTCAATTCCTAGTAGATTTCTATTGTATTTGAGTATTTTGGATACAAAATGGGTGATGAGCGTGTGAATTCATCTAATCAATCTGATGGCTTTACTATATTCACTTTAGATCCCTCACATCCTCTCCATATTCATCCCTCAGACAGTCCTGGCACTCAGTTAGTATCTCCGCCATTTGATGGTATTGGATTTGTTGCCTGGCGTAAAAGCATGTTAGTTTCCCTCTCTGCCAAAAATAAATTGGCTCTAATTGATGGTCGTCAGTCTAAACCTCCTGATAACTCACCTTATTACTCCTACTGGGAAAGGTGTAACGATATGGTGGTCGCTTGGATCACCAATTCTCTTTCTAAAGATATTGCAACTAGTGTCCTAGGTTATGACACTTCGAAAGAGATTTGGTTGGACTTAAATGAAAGATTTGGTCAGTCTAACAGTTCCAAGTTCATTCAGATACAAGGGAAATTGGAACCATTTCCCAGGGAACCTTAGACATAGCCTCTTATTTTACAAAGTTTCGTAGTCTTTGGGATGAGCTTCATACTGCTTATGTAGGTCCTACATGTTCATGTGGTGCTTTACCCAAGTTCCATGATAAAATGAAATTGTTCTGGTTCCTGGCTGGACTAAATGAGTCATATAATACTGTCAAAAGCAATATTCTCATGATATCACCACTCCCATCAGTTAGTAAGGCCTATTCCATGTTACAACACGATGAGAGACAAAGGGAAACATCCCCAGCTCCAAGTTTCTCCAGTGATTCTGTCTCTTTTCTGCATCATCCACTCCTTTAACCCATTCACAAAATCATGGTGGGCAAAGACCTTTCAATCAGAAGATTCATTTTGAGTCAAAGAAACTGGGACAACCCATGATGTGCAGATATTGCAAAAAACCAGGTCATACCATTGAAAAATGTTACAAACTCCATGGTTTTCCTTCTGACTTCAAGTTCACCAAAAGCAAGAGATCAGTTTCTTGTGTCCAAGCTGAGGGTACTAATTCTACTCCATTGACCTCATTTATGGAACAACCTTCACTTGTCAACCACGGATTCACTACAGAACAATATCAGTACCTTCTCACTCTCCTGAAGCAGTCACACATTTCTTCTGGTATCTCAATTGATTCTCACTCTGGAGACAATCATGCTAATGCCCATTTTGCAGGTTTGTTTTGCAGTTCTGTAGTTAGGTCTATGGATTTTCATGCTTGTGCATCTTCACAATTAACTGTTGACACTTAGATTCTAGACTCAGAGGCTACTAATCACATGACACCTCACAAATATCTTCTTCACAATCTTCAACCATTAACTAGACCTTGCTTAATCACTCTACCAAATGGTTATAAAGTAAAAGTTATATCTACTGGATCTTTATAACTTATATCTGATATTGTCTTACACAATGTTCTGTTTGTCCCATCATTTCAGTTCAACTTAATTTTAATATATCAGCTTTTTTTACAGCTTCATTGCATTGCAGTTCTAACTACTTCCCATTGCTTCTTACAGGGCCCTTCTCTGAAGAGGCCACTGGGAATTGATAAGGCTAACAATGGATTGTATTTTCTTCATCTTGATGATAGCCCTTTAGTTTCCTCCTTCCCAATTGATGTTTCATGTACTGTTTCATCTTCTATTCCTAATGTTTCTCCTATTTTCAATTCTGTCAATCCCCTTCGCATTAGTCCCTTATGTAATCCATCTGTTGATATTAATAAAATAGATTTGTTTTGGCATCAAAGAATGGGTCACATGCCTTACAACAGAATAAAATCTATTCCTTTTATTTCTTCACAAATCTCTTCTAAACAATCATTTCTATGTCCTATATATCCTATGGAAAGACAATAAAGGTTTCCATTCCCTGATAGCACTACTCAATCTACTGCTCCTTTCTAATTGGTCCACATTGACATTTAGGGACCCTATAACACTACTACATATAATGGTTTTAGATATTTCATTACCTTAGTGGATGATTACTCTAGGGTAACCTGGACACACTTACTTTCTAGTAATAGTAATGCTCTATTTGTACTCAAAGCTTTCACCTCTATGGTGCAGAATCATTTCCACACTTCAGTTCAGACCTTCAGGTTTGATAATGCTTTTGAACTAGGCTCTAGTCTAGAGTCCAGATCCTTCTTTTCTTCTCAAGGAATTCTGCACCAGACCATTATTCCCCACACACCACAACAGAATAGTGTTGTGGAAAGGAAACATAAACACCTCTTAGAAACCTCCAGAGCATTATTATTTCAATCCAACTTGCCTACTAAATTCTGGGGTGAATGTGTTCTTACAGCCACATATCTCATCAATAGGTTCCCTTCTACTTTCCTTAACAACATATCCCCTTTTTGAGAAACTACATGGACATTCACCTTCTTATGATCATCTTAGATCATTTGGATGCCTTTGTTTTGCTACATCTCCTAAACATAGTAGAGACAAATTTCAATCTAGAGCAATACCTTCCATTTTCCTTGGCTATCCTTGTGGGAAGAAAGGATACAAATTACTTAATATGTCCTATCAATCTATCTTCTACTCTAGAGATGTTGTTTTTCGTGAACATGTTTTTTCCTTCTCCACCAATTCTTCTACCATTTCCCTTCATTCACCTCCCAGCTTTATTGATGTTACTCATCACCACACTCCACCTGTCCCTTCTCATTCTGTTTTTCCTCCTATTCCTCTTAATTCTACATCCTCCCATGTTTCTGTTCCTCCTGATGATTCCTCTCCTTCTCCTCCTACTATTGTTCCAGACTCTTTACCATTTTCCATTTCTGCCCCATCTCCTTCCAATCCTCCTTCATCTGATCCTCCTCTTAGAAGATCCCTTAGGGTACCACATCCACCTCCTCATCTAGCAGACTATGTCTGTTCTGCCCCTGTATCTACTGTTCCTCATATGTCCTCCACAGAATTGCACTTGCATGAGCCTCAGTACTATCAATAGGTTGTTTCTAATCCTACTTAGCACGAGGCCATGCTAAAAGAATTTCAAGCATTAGAGGCTAATAACACTTGGGATATTGTACCTCCTCCCCTTAACAAAAAGGTTATCCCTTGCAAATGGGTGTACAAAATAAAACAGAAATCTGATGGTTCTGTTGAGAGGTACAAGGCACGGTTAGTCATTAGGGGTGATACTCAGAAGGAGAAAATTGATTACAATAAAACATTCTCCCCGGTTGTCAAATTTACTACTATCAAGTGCCTTCTTTCCCTTGCCATAAAGAGGAACTGGACTGTCTATCAACTTGATATAAATAATGTCTTCCTCCATGGTGACCTCCATGAGGAAGTTTAAATGAATATACCACTAGGCTGCAGGTTTCTTCTACTGGTTCTTCTTCTTTCCCTTTGGTATGCAAGCTCAAAAAATCTTTGTATGGCCTCAAGCAAGCATCCAGACAATGGTTTTCTAAATTGTCTTGGCTTTGTCTACAAAAGGATACATTTCTAGTATGAATGACTACTCCCTGTTTACAAAGTCTACTTCTACTTCTGTTACTGTACTAGTTGTTTATGTTGATGATATCTTACTAGCTGGGGATGATGTTGTTGAATTGGATAGTGTTAAGCTATTTCTTGATCAAAAATTCAAAATAAAGGATTTGGGACAATCCATTATTTCCTTGGTTTGGATGGCACTCAATATCCTGAAGGATACATCATCAGCCAACAGAAGTTTACACAGGACTTGCTGGCAGAATTTCACTGCCATAATTTTTCCTCTGTTATGACTCCTCTTGATACTTCTGTCAAGTTTTTTACTGATATGGGTGACCCATTAACTGATCCTAGCACCTATCTGAGAATTATTGGCAAACTCAACTTTCTCCAACACACAAGGCCAGATATATTTTTTTGTGTTCAACATTTAAGTCAGTTCCTTCAAGCTCCTCAAGTTCCTCATATGCTTGCTGCACTCCATGCCCTGAGGTATCTGCCCAATGCTTCTACTTTAGGGATTCTTTTTTCTTCCTCTTTTGATACCTCTATCAAAGCCTACTCTGACTCTGATTGGGCTGCTTGTGCTAAGTCAATGAGGTTTGTTTCTGGTTTTTATATTACACTTGGTGGTCCACCAATCTCCTGGAAAAGCAAGAAGCAACCCACTATTTCACTATCTTCTGCTTAAGCAGAATACAAGGCTCTCAGAAAAGTTGTTGTCGAGGTGTCTTGGTTGGTCAGGATACTAAATGATCTTGGTTTACATGTTTCTGCTCCTATTCCCATCTTTTGCGACAGTCTTGCTGCTTTACATATTGCCAAGAATCCGGTCTTCTATGAAAGGACAAAGCATATCGAAATTGACTGCCACTATGTACGTGAGAATCTCAATTCACGGCTGATATCTCTGCATTTTGTTCCCAGTTCTGCCCAGCTTGCTGATATTATACCAAGTCGCTTCCTGGGCCCTTT